AAGCTCTCGTTCCGCAGGCAGCCCAGGAGGCTGCGGAGCTTCCCCTCCTGCCGTCTGGAGGGGGGATTTTCCCACCGGGGCAGAAATAAAAGGGCATCTGTAAATAAAACAAAGGGCCAGGACAGGCGGCGGAGTGGTGTCTGAGCGGGAGCAGCTGCAGGGCTTGGAAGCTCTCCCCTCTCTTCCAAGCACTGAGAGCTCCTCCCTCCCTTCTGCTGGGATCTGGGATGGCTGTCGGTTGGTGGGTGGGAGGATGTAGAGTCCCAGCCTGAAGATCCCTTGTAACTCCCTTTCCAGGACCGGCTCCCGCTCCCCAGGACCTACCGCTCGTCATGTGAGAAACCTTGGCGAGCTTCTTCATGACGTTATCCAGCCGCGACTGAGTGCTGTCTAACTCGTGGGAGAAGTCGTCCAGCATCCTGGGGGACAGAGAAGCGCGGCACCCGTCAGCCAGCAGCACATCCTCGCAGGGTTCCTCAGCGCGTGCACGCCGACCGAATCCCGTGGGATTAGCGTTATCCCTCTATTTCCTCCACGCAGCGACTGCAACGGATCCGACACCCTTCCCGAAGCCGCGCTTCGTCGCTGCCAAGAAGCCGTTCGAAGGGAAAGCAGCACGTCCTCAAACGAGGTACCACGCTGGTCGTCCCCCGCCAGCAGGACTGGAAAGCTTAACGTGTTTCAAAGGGCAGCTCCCTGCACCTGGAGTCCCAGGGCACTTGTCAAACCCCTCCTCAGCTGGGACAGAGTTGTACAAAACTCACGGCTGTAGTTATCCGTGACCGTCTAGCGAGCACCGAGGGCTTACGTGACGAGCTGCAAACGGACACGCCACGCGGATCTGCTTCTGGGACAGCAGAAGACCCTCACGCTCCCACAATTCGTACAGGAGGTGGGTTTAAAGTTCGCCCTCTCCACCAAAAAAGACATTCATTCACAGGGGACGCAGCCCCCCTCTTAGCCAAGGAGGGGGTTTGGGCATGAACCCTTCGAGCCTCTAGCTGTGAGCCTGCACAACTGGGAACTTTGTGCACTTGTTGGAAAAGAACTGTGCACTGGGGACAGAAATCTAATTTATATGTAAATGGCGAGATGCAAATGACTTTGTGAGCTCCCCTTTGACCTCTGGCGTGGGCGAGGGTTATTTTTAGTTGTAGCTATGACTAGCAGCTCTGTGCAAGGCAGAGCCGAGAGCTGGCGGGTCAAGCAGTTATCCAGGGGCAGCACAAAACCCTGTGGAGTGGGAAAGCGGCCAATATTCCCGTGTAACAGCAGCTCCCTCCCTCATCTCTTCTGGCTGCTAAGGAGCTAACTGTGTGCCTCAGGGGGAACGTGTGAAAAGGAGAGGGAAGGAAAGGTAAACCGGCAGCTGAGCCTGCCCCAGGTGCAGGCTTTCAAAGGAAGGAGGCCGCGCTTGGATCCCTGCAGGCTGCAATCCTTTCCACTGCCTAAAAAAGGCTGGATAGGAGAGGCTGCCCGAGGGACACGGCCCTGGCAGGGGCAGGTAGCTGTGTGCGAGGACCCCCAGCTTTGTTGCAGCCAGCCCCGTGGCAGGTTTTCATCGCTGCGGCTCACACTTACACCGCCTGCTCCTCCAGCTCCCCGCCGATGCGCTGGGACATGTTCTTCAGGACCCCGATGCTGCCGGAGACCAGCTCCAACTGCTCGTCTTGCTGCTCCACGATCAACTGAGGACAAAGAGAAGGGAAACGGGCAATTACAGGGCTGCCACCTCCTGCAGCGGCGTCGGTGGGCAGACACGCTGCGTGGCCAACATCAGCTCCGGGGCTGCGGCGGTTGACCAAAGTCACCAGGAACGAGGGCCGCGTTCCTAAGAAACGCTGGAGAAGCGACAGCCTGCACGCGGCATCCCTGTGGCGCCGCAGTCTCCTGACATCCCTGCAAATCCAGCCTCAGCTCAGCTTTCTCCCTCCCTTCCCTGCTGCACCCACCGCTAAAGCGACTCTGGAAAGCCACAGGGACCGGTCACCAAAACCTCCGCGAGCCCGGCAGCGGGCAGCCACGCCGACGCTGTGCCTGGGAAACGCGACCTGGAATGCACCGCAGCCAACAAGGGGTTAAGGGGAGTAAAAAGGCTCTTGCAGCTAAAAACGGCAAGTTCCAAACGTGCCAAAGGAATAGCTCCGCTGATTTTCCAAGGCGTTTTCAGGGCAGAGTCACTCTAAGGATTAGATTTACCCTAGTTACCTACTTCTGAACGTGTTTATCTTCCTAGAGTCAGTAGGTAAAACTCATCTGGAAGCCGGGATGGCACCAGGGGTCAGGAGCTTGAGCAGAGTTTGCCACCTCTGAGAAGCTGCCTGTTTAAAAGCCCATTTTTGGGCGGGTGGGCTGCTGCACCCAGGGGTCTGGCACGCTGTCCGGGCGCTTCTCCGGATGGACCGGCCCGGCGGCGGGTTCTCGCAAAGGCCTGGCGCAGGGCTTTCTCACGAACCTGGCGTTGACAAAGGCAGGAAAAGGAAGCGGCAGGTGCTCCCGCTCTCGGGTTGTTCTGATGAAGATGCACGCAAACAAACAGCAGCTCATTTTTTAACCAGGGGAAGCCGCTTCAGAAAAACAGGCTCTTTTCTGTCTGTAACGTTTCCAGGCTTCCAAGGATTTCAGCAATCCTTGTAGTATTAAAGCTTAGCGCGCTACGTCTTCCAGATCATCCCGTTTGCCTTCTGCAGACAGAAGACCCAATCCCCAAGCATTAAAATCCAGATGCATCCAAAGCTGGGCTGTACAGGGAATGCATGCAAGCGGAGGGCTGTCAGGCTCCTGGAGCCGGCCAAGGACTGGATTATTTATTTTTCTGGCTCATCCCCCTTGGCACCCGTTTGGCAAGCCAAGCTATTTATTCCGCGTGGTGCCAGCTGCCTTACCTGTTGTTGAGCTTGCTGCTCCTCGATGAAGTGTGAATTTGCTAATTGCAGCTCCCGGTCCAGGCGGCTGTATCTGTCAGGTCCAGAGTTCCAACTCTGACTCCCGCTTTCTCCCAGGAGCACCTAAACAGATGCAGACAGTCCTCAGCAACACCCTCGCGTCTGCTCACAGCCCATCTACAGGGTGTAGCAGGAAGGCAGACGAGGCAATACCCCTCTACCCACGCACGCAGCATCCCTGTCCTCCTGCTCGATCGCTACTCGGCTGGAGTGCTGTCAGGTACTACCAAACACCAGGCTGGGAAGTCTCTGCAGCCCGATACTGCGGACAGGCCTCTCCAGCAGCAGGAGAGCTGGAATACGACCGACGGACGGCGTAAGCAGGCTACACCACACGAAGGACTAGCAGAGATCTGCTCGGGAGGCAGTGCTGCGCACTAGGACGTGATAACGGGGAAGTATCCGGATGTATTGCGTTAACAGGTGTAGAGTTCGAACCGAACGCGGTGCTGCTAATCACAGGGGCTTAAGAGGGTCTGGAAAAAGCACTTAGCCGGTTGATCTGACCGTAAAAATAGTGCAATATATATAACCACAGCAGTGCTGTATGCTCAGGTTCTTTGATCCAGGCTACCTGTTCCTCCGGCAAACCGCCCCGTGGCCAGCACACGAGATGACCCTTGCTACCTGCTCTACACGCCGAAGGGAGAAGCTTGTGCAAAGCCAGCAGACGCGGCTTTGCGGCCGAGTCTGGTCCCTGGAAGGGGTAAAACAAGAATTCTGAAAAACAAGGCTGCGTCTACGGTTCATCTGCCTGACAAGGTTCCAGGAGGGGTGAGGAAAGCTGACGGACTGACTGTGCAGGAAGCCAGCAGGACATCTGGCTTTGTCTGCCCCAAGACACCGAGCAAGCTCCTGGTTCTCTCCAGTCCGTGCAAACGCAGCTACCGCCTACGTAACAGGGACGCGCTAGTTTTGCTGTGGCTTCCATAGAAAGGCCCCTGCTTGCCAGCCTCAGCCTGCAAGGGTCAGGCCTCTCGGACACAGAGCCACGCTGGAAATGCCGCCGCAGAGCAGCCCAGCATGAGCTCTGCAGTCTGGAGGGAAGGCGAGGGTCTGGGGAAGGGAGAGGAAGACGGCAAGGGGAAGTCAGTTTTCCTGACCAGATGTTGCGTGCGAACCGGGCCATATGGTCCCCCGCAGCGAGCAGGAACTTCACGCAAAGGAAAGCAGCAAAACCAGCTACGGACTTGTTTGAGCAAGGGTGTCAGGGACTTTGCTTCTGCGAGGGTTTGCCAAGCACGTCAGTTAACCCCCTAACGAGCTCGGGAATGGGCTCAGTAGCGCGCTGCAGGTTTTGTCACAAGTGCGAGGACTGCTGCAGTTCGTGGGACGGAGCACAGACCGGCTCGCACTGAGGCAGCTCTGGAAATCAGCTCTGAGATCTCCTTGCAGCCTCCTCGGCAGCCGGGGAGGAGCACAAGCTGCAGCTAGTTTGATTCCTCAGATTCCAAGCGCAGACAGCCTGAGACTCCTTGAGCTCCTTCCATCTTCTCACGCGGCTAACTGCTACGGGAGGCAGCTGTGTGAAAGCCTATCCCGGCACCTTAGCGGGATTACATTCACTGACACGGATTCCGTCTCTGTTCCCTTCCGAGGAGGAGGGAGATTCCCCCTCCCGCGGGATGATGCAACACTGACGGTTGTACACAACCCGAGCTGGAGACGGAGACAGATGGTGAGCGCTGACTTACTGCTCTGAGAAACAAGCTCAGAAGAGGGTGGGAGCAACGTGCTTGTGAGAACCAGCACTTTCGGGTCACGAAAACGGGCGCAGTTCAAATCCTCGGCGTGCAAACCCCTTCCCAGCACGAAGGTTTTGAAGGGGATGAACTACAGACGGGCTGTGTTGTAATTACAGCTTTGACTCAGTTTTCATCAACCCTACACCCTCTAACTTCACGACCTGGAGCTTCAGTGAAAGTGAAAATGGAAGTTTCACCACAAACACACCTTCAGACACGAGCTGCTACAGCAGATAAATCCTCCCCCCTCCATAAAGTACCAAACTGCTGCTTAACTTGCCCGTTTCTGGTTCTCACCTGCCTGTTTTTCCTTTCAGCCAGCGCCTGCGTGGAGGAGTTGGACATCTGATCCTTCATCTCCTGTTTGTTCGAGGAAAGAAGCAGCATGTGAGCATTGAATCTGAGGAGAGGGGCAGCTTCGGGGTGCTACAGGGCTCTCTATACCTAGCTAGGCTTCTTAGGGGAGTGAGGAAAGGGAGACTTTTCTTGAAAATGTGCAGTTTCGAAGGGTCTGAAAGGATGTTGTGGAAAACTTCACCGCAGCTCGTCGTTTTACTAAGATGAGAATCAACAGCAATGGGATACATTTTGCCCTGCTACAGCCAGAAACACTCTGTATAACGTTGAACTAACGTTCTCACTGACAGACTGTAAGGAAGGGTCAAGTTCTTCACGGTTTTGGAAACTGCAACCCCCTGCCTGTTGCATCTGGTTTTATATTGCGTAGGATGAGAGATTTCCCAGCCTGTGGCCATCCTCTCTGACAGTGCCTACGTTCTCTCTTTCGCCAATTAAGCTTTCTTGATGAGTTCTGTAGGAGATGGCTAGCCACAGAAGGCTTATAGGGTAGATCAGCACGTAGTCAGCATGATCTACCAGAGGTTGATCCACCAGCACAGTTCTGTCGTCACCAAAACATTTAGGAATCTTTTACTCCTCAGGGATGTGTGGGACCTAAGAGGACCAGATCCCACTTGGTTCCTTCCCACTGGCTCACGCGCAAGCTGCTGTGCACCACGAATTCCCCCTCTGGAAAGTGGATGACACCTGCACAACGCCACTAATAAATTTCATTTAACAGTAAGAGACGCTGCTCCAAACCCCATAAGCCAGCAGTTTTTAGCCCGGAAAAAAAGAGGACCACAGAACGGGCTTGCCTGATGCTGCCCGCTTGGGAGCGGACTAAACAGAGGGTAAGGCAGCAAGCACACGCCTGCTACCACCAGGGGCCAGTGCAATTTTGGGATCAGTTCCCAGGCAGCAAGCCTTAGGAATTGCATCCGGACCACAGGACCGCAAACAGGGTAACAAGGCTTGTGGCAGGCAGAGCAATGCGTTTTGTGAGGAGCATCAGAGTCGTGAGGGGCAGCAGAACCTACGCTCAGCGTAGCTGCAAACAAGGAGAAAACTTCCTGACCAGGCAGTGAATCTTTTGGGAAGACGTTTCTCCTCTATTTATTACCGACAAGTTGTTAAAATCCTCCTTTTGGCTGCCAAAGTGTGAGTTTAAACTAAAAAAACCAACCCAAACCTTCCCGGGGTTAAAAATAAATCTAGTGGTGGTTTGGACTATTTTGTAGTGGCAGGAAGTTGAAGTCACCACGTCGGTAACGCCAGGCTTTAACCATCTGTCGGCGCTCAAAGCAGAGTCCCTTGTTGAAAACACGGGACAGTCGCGATTTCCTCCAGCTCTGACGGGAGGCTCCAGCCTTTCCCGGCATTGCGGCGGGGTCTTTACTCTTCCTCCCCCATTATTACAGGTTCCTAGGCTTGCTGTTGCAAGAGAAGGGGCAGCAGAAGGAGAGGAAGGTATGCCACGGGGCACCTGCACCCCCAAACCCGTCAGAGGAGGAAGCCTGGGAGAGAGCAGGTAGCGGGTTTATTCTCTGCCCTCCAGCTGGGAACCGCCCACAAGCCTTGCCTTTTTTAACAGCCCCCGCGCCCACCCCAAGCCCACCTTCCTTACCCTGACCACCTGCCGCGTGCTGGTGATGAAGGCTTTCCTGACGCCCAGCTCCGTCGCATCGAGGTTGAATTTCCGCGGGTTCGCCTCGACAATGCGTAGGCAGCCAGTCAAGGAGGCCCCGTTAGCGGCGGCGGGGACGCGCACGCAAACCCCGAGCAGTGCTGCTGCTGGGGTGGGGGGTCTACACCAAGCAGCACCCTTCCGTCGCGCCGTGCCTTTTCCCAAAGTCGGCAAAGTACAAAGCACCCGAGGGAAAAACAGGCACGGCAGGAACGTGCCGGGCAGCAGACGCACCGGGGTGAGGTTTCTCTGCGGTTTTGGGGTTCCCTGATGCCGCCCAGCGCTTTCAGGCATGTTCAGATGAACACGAGGGAAGAGGGGTATTTCTGGAAGCCAGCCTAGAGTACAACTGACTACACAGGAATCCCAATTCGTACCACACAATAGGCTTTCTCGAACAAAGCGTCTTAGAATATACCTTGTCACCAGGAAAACAAAAAGGCAAAAGGAAAACCCTTTTGCTGAACACTTCTGCCTTCATTTCTCACGTGCGGTTTGAGAAAAGCCGACGCAAATGCAAAATTCAAACCCAAAAAGGCCCGCTTTCTGCCAAAAAGTAAGCACTGGCACTCAGCTATTTGGCACAACTCGGGAACCGCACGCCCCCACCTCCAAAGAACCACACAAAGGATATTGATTGTTTCATCCAAGTCTTCCAGGTCCCACTCGATGCTCCGCAGGTTGTTCCTGAGCTCATTAGTGGTCCAGTCGATTTCTTCTCTTGTGGCAATAGAGGGATCTTGCAAGAGCTCCGTCCACCTCTGGAAGAGCCCCTGGGCGGTGTTGACGGCTTTCTGCACCTCCCTGCAGCCGGGGCGATTAAAGGGAAGCAAAGGGATTACCCCCAGGAGCTGTACAGCCCTCCCGCCCCGCATCCGGCTGAGCAGGCAAGCACAGCTTTCTCCCAGACCTCTTTCCTTCAAACAACTTCTGGCTCCTTTTGTAAAATAAGGATTCTCCCTACCTGCTGGACAATCCCGCCGCCCGCTGCAGCGCAACGTGCTGAGCAACGGCCAGGTCAGCTGTTAACGAAGGGACCCGGAGGTTTGTGTCACACAGACAAGCCAGGGCAGAGCCTCTGAACAAGGCTGCTCTTTGGCAATTAGTGCTTTGCATTCCTCTCAACAGCGTTCCTCTAAAGCCTGTGACTACTTGGGTGAGACACCCCGAGGGCACACGGAATTACAGGAACCGTCCCCACAATACGGCCAGGCAGACTGGGGAGTGCAGCACTGTTTATTTAAATTTAGAGTTAAAAAAAATAAATACACGGCTCTGCTACGCTGGTTTAGGGAACAGCAGTCTTTTCTGCTGCTCTAAGCGTTTTGGAGGCGAGCACATGCACGGCAGGGGAAGGCAGGCTCTGCTGATGGCACTGAACGCTGCTTTGATGGTTTGGGGTAAGTTTGGGTGATGGGCTGTCGGCGTGGTTATCGGTACCTACAAATCCTGCTGTGCTGAGCCGTGAGCTGCACCCCCAGTTTCACTGGGGATGAGGGACGCAGACAAGACTGGACCCTGCTGACGTGAAAGGTGGCCACTGCACCCCCAGTTTCACTGGGAGCCGGAATGAGGGACGCAGACAAGACCGGACCCTGCTGACGTGAAAGGTGGCCGCTGCACGCCCAAGAGCTTGCTGGCATCCATGTACAGATACAGACCTTCATCCCCAGCGAAGAAAAGCCAGGGAAAACCTGGGATGGGCGATCCGGGCCTGCACCCTGCAGGGGCAGCAGACTGCAGCTCTCTTCATGTTACACCATGTCTTAAGTGCTCAACTTTGCTGCCTAAGCTGCAGCGTCTCGGCACCCTGATGTGTGTCCCTCCTCCTCTCGCACGCCCACGGCTCCGAGTCTGCCAGCTCCAGTGCCCTGAAGTCAGCAGCCCATGCTGCGGACCTGGCAAACTTCCTCCCCTCCACTACTTGTTAGTTTGGGTGGTTTTTTCCCATCTGGGCATACTTGGGGAAAGTACCAACAAGTAGGAATCTAAAGTAGAGCTGGATGTGCTCCCACAGGGAGGGGTAGGGAACACCAGGAAAGCAAACGGGACACAAGGTGGACAATCTCCACCAGCCCCTTCCACCCTGACCTGGTGGGTAGTAATTAACCCTGGGAGTGGCAGAATGTCCCATGTGCCCTCTCCCCTCCCAGCACCGGAACATCTCTGGAAAGTCTGACAGGACGTTTGCTTCCCCACCCACGGCGACTCGCATTTTTTCCCCCTTTAGCACCAGTCCAACCTGGCAGTGATTCGCTTTCCCTGGCTGCACCAGCATCCCTTCCCACACCCCTTGTGCTCCGCTGCACCGTTTCACTGCCATGTGGGGCAGGTCACCATCCTGCAGCAGAGGCAGAAGCTGTCCCCAGGGTGGGTTTTAGAGATTAAGGTGCTTTCACTGTATGAATTACAATTTTCCTCTCCTCCTGCCTCGACCCCATCTGGGTTCATAGAATCATAGAATGGT